AACTATAATTTTATGCCTAATAGACATATTTTAAAACTTTTACAATATAGACAATGGATAGTTAATAAATTGACAAATATAATCTATTATATGATTGAGCTATTTTTGACATAAAATAAACTAAATTACAAAACTTATAAGACAAAATACATTGATATTTCATTGTAAAAATAGTTTTTGAAATTTTATTTCACTTTTTTTAAAAATATATTCCACCATAGTTTATTCATTTCTTATAAATAAATTTTATGTTATTATTTAATTTCAAAATTAATTTTTTATTTTTTATTTAAACTCATGCATAGCACGAGTATTATGGTTTATAAAATAATTTTAAAAAATTACATCCGTGCTATGAAGATCCATTAAGCAAAGGTGAGTGAGAGAGAAGAATAAGAAAAGGCCCAATGTGAGATGTCAAAACTAGTGATTGTGAGAAAATTTAAAAATTGTACATTGTAGGTAAATATTGATTTCGGGAAAGATTATTATTTAATTTCAAAATTAATTTTTAATTATTTATTTAAACCCGTGCATAGCACAGGTATTATTGTTTATAAAATAAATTAAAAAAAATTCACTTGTATTATGAAGATCCATTAAGCAAAGGTGAGTGAGAGAGAAGAATAAGAAAAGGCCCAATGTGAGATGTCAAAACTAATGATTGTGAGAAAATCTAAAAATTGTACATTGTAGGCAAATATTGATTTCAGGAAAGATAAGAGGATAAGGGTCACTGGTAATTCATTGTTTGTCATTTTTATTTTGTTATTCAATTTTTTAATTTATACAAATTTTGCTAGATTGAGTTTCACAAAAAAATTTATTATTATTATTACTATTATATGGCATACTAAAAAAATGTAATTAGTAAATAATAATAATAATAATTATTGAGTTTCATATAATTTATGATATTATCTAATATATAGCAAATTAAAATTATGAAACCCTTAGAAAATAATAATGTATTTATATTTTATCATAGACGTAGTTTTTGTTCTTAAAAATAAAAATTAAAAAGTGCAAATTTATAATTTATCATAAATTTTATTTAATTTTTACGAATTAAATTATGATTCATGTTATTGTTATTTAGAACTTAAAACATAACATTAATGGTAGGAAAAAAAATCATAAGCGAAATTATGATAAAAATAGTTAAAATTTAATTAATTTTATTTTTTTATAGTTTATTTTTAATTAATTTTATTTTTTTTCAATTTATTTTTAATTTTAAAATTCATTATTAATTATTTATTAAAAACCGTGCTAGTATATATATATATACTTCAAAGCATGTGCATTACATATATTTATTTAAATTACTATATTTATCTGTTGGTAAAAATTTGGTTTAAGCCTAAACGAGAGTGATTGATCAATAGACTTAAATAAATGTTAAATAAACACATAAAAATCGAGCTTTGTGGTTAAATTTTATGTCAATAGATTAAGAACTGCCTTGGAGGTAATCAAGTAAACAAGAAATGAAACAAAACAGAATGTGTACTTATTCAAATGGATTGTCACTTGCTATCAATTATAGGAACTTAAATAAGAACAAAGAAATGAACAAATACAGCAATCGACAGAAGCAAATAAATGGAGATTGAAAAATTTTATCACTTAATCTACTCTTAACATTTGCTAAATTAATCTATTTCTAAATTGATATTGCGTTCTGTGAATAGTTGTGGATATTTTTTTTGTATCTCTCTTGGCCTATTTATAGGCTTAACAACATGAGAGAGAGAGAGAGGGAATCTAAGCCCACGATTTCCTCAACAAGCCCATTATTTCCTCAATATCATCCATCTCCCAAGTTTGATAATAACCACTTTACACATTTGGTACTTGATTTGGTCTTAGATCCTTAATCTTAGCAACTAATTTTTAAATTATTATAATGGTTGACATTTTGGCTCTCCATTTAACATATCATCATGCCATGTCCTTAACATATTTGTTATGCCACGTCAACATATTTGTCGACAACAACAATAATAATAATAATAATAATAATAATAATAATAACAAATATGGCCAAGGTTATTCTTTAAAAATAAGAATAATGTTTGAGGGCCCGAAATTAGTGGCTCGAATGTGGCTCAAAACCCAAAACGACGTCGTTTTGGGTTTTGATTTTTTTTTTTTTTTCCTTCCTTCCTTCCTCTTCTTTCTTTTCTTTTCTTCTTCTTCTTCTTCTTCTTCGTTTTGAACCTGAGAAGCAGAGGCGAGAGAGAGAAATAGAGGGGAGAGGTGGGAGCTCGTCGTCGGTCGTCGGCCAATCGTCGCAGCTCGTCGGTCGTCGGCCGATCGTCGCCTCTGCCTCCGCCCACCTCCGCCTCTGCCTCTGCCTCCGCCCGCCTCCACCTCCGCCTCCCTCCGCCTCCGCCTCCGCCTCCAGCCCTATTTTTAGGGCCCCCTCCAGTTCTGCTCCTCCTTCTCTTCTTCCTCATTCTCTTCTTCTTCTTCTTCTTCCTCCTTCTCAAATTCGAGCCAAATTTGGCTCGAAACCTTTCGAGCTCTGTAGCAGAGCCCCCTTTTTAATTTGCCAAAATTCCCTCATTTTATTTTTGTTTCATTTTCTTATCTATATAACTTTGGCCGCCAGTTGCCACTAGCTCACCCCCCGCCCTTTTTCACCACTTCAAACCCTTCCCCATACTCTTCATATCCACTTCTGCACACTTCTCCATATCTGTTTGCTCTCTTCCTTTTTCGCCCCAATCGTTTACTACCCCATCCAACAACCAAATTTGACCAAAATATCTCATTAAAAGTGGTGTTCTAAAGTATTACTGAGTTGGCAAGCACTTTAAATAAATAAATAAAAAAAAGACACAAGTAGTGGGTCCCGTCCACTGTCATGATTTTTTTCTTTTGATCAGTAGAAGATTTCATAAATGAATGCCAACGTGGCATTTACAGGAATCCATCCAAACCAAAACTTACACCAAACAAAGCAAAAATTTTGCAAGAAACACAAAGGAGAGAAATTAAGAAAGTATTCAAATGCAAATCTCGTGCATGTGCTCACACTACGAAGCAGAACCGACCATAAGAGTCGGTAATAGAGCATGTCTGGAATAAATCATAGATCTCAACCATAGAGTGGGTAAGTTTAATAAGAACTCACTGATGGACTCCCAAGCAACCAAATAGACAAACATAGCACAAAGGAAATCAAAAACACAATACCCAAAAAAAAAAAAACATAAACCCACACACCAACTAACTTCCAACAGTGGCGACTGCCGTAGATTCAGCGAGGATGACGGCAGATCCGGTGAGTCCACGGCCGGAGTTGAAGCAGAGGGAAGAAATACCCCACAAAAGAGGGAGAGGATGGAAGTACAGAACTTAAACAAGAAAAGGAAAAAGAAAATGGGAGTAGGAGGAGGAGAGAGAAGGCCGTCGGATTCCCCTCCCCCACCCCAACTATTGCAGCTCTCAAAAACCCCAGGAGAAGAAAAGTATAGAGTGAGAAGCTTTCAAACTAGAGAGAGAGTTTTTTTTTCCCCTCTCTGAGCCCCTTCGAAAGCTAGTGAAAGTTATTACTCTAAAATACAATAATAGCTATGTTAAATTTATTATTTTATTATGGGTAAATTACACTTTGCCTCCAGTCACTTTTCTATTTTGATCATCATAGTTTTTTTTTTTTTCGTTTTTTTTTTCTTTTCACTTTGGTTCTTTATATTTCAAGTTTTCCTCAATTTATTCTTAAAACTAATTTTTATTAAAAATTAGATAGAAAATGATACTTTAAACTCCAACATAATACATTTTTTATATTATGTGACCATTATTATGATATTTTATGTCTAATTTTGAATAGAAATTAGTTTTAGGAATAAATTGAGAAAAACTCAAAACATAAAGGGTCAAAGTAGGAAAAAAAAATAAAAATATTTAAGAATCAAATGGAGAAAGTGATCAAATATAAAAAAGACAAAATATAATTTATCCTTTTATTATTTTGATTTTTTGAAACTAATTTGTGAAGCTCTTGCCATTAAAATAATCCTTTTTGGCTATGTCAAATTTGACAATGTTATTTGCAAACTCGCTTTTGCAAGTTTGAATGAATTTTACTGTTAAATGTGCCACCTTAGAGTAAACTATTTGATTGGAGATGTTGGGAGGTGTGAATTAATGAAATGAAATATTATTTTCCAAACAGTGAATAATTTCTTGTGACAACGATATTATTTGGTGGGAGCACTAGGTTGGAGATTTTTTTTTTTTGGATAAAAAATTAGAAGCTAAAAGTATACTTTCACCACATTTTTTTTTCAACAGCCTTGTATTTTAGAGAGAAAAAAGCTTGACATTTAAAATGTCTCTTAAATTTATCCACAATAATTATTCTATATAAATTATTAAATAATTTAAGGCCCAACTTCTTCTTATCATATTAAAAATCTCAAACATCTCTCCATGTATTTTATTAAAATAATTTGGAGACGAGTACATCAAAGGTTTTGTTTCTTTTAAATTGACCATCTCATTCAAATGAAGAAAAACTTTTGGTACAATTTATACTAGAAAACTGAACTTACATTCACTTGCTTTTATCAATGTGAGGCAATTTAGGGTCAAAACCCTTTATCTTTTATTCTCAAAAAAGAATTAAAAAATAAAAAAATAAAATAAAATAATCTTTTGAGTGCCTCAACTGCTCCACAATGCTTTCGCCTCCACCATCCAAGCTCTGCTCGTGGAACTCAATTTTCTCTTTAAATTTTGGAGCTAAACAAACCCGAATCGGATACTGCAATCTTTAACCTTAAGGCATCAAGCAAATATTTGTACTGTGCCCATATAGCCAGCATAATGCACATAGTCTGCAAAAGTTAGGTATATATCACCTTCATTCATTGGAAGAAAAAACCAAAACCATATCCTAAAATTGATGAGGATTAAAATGTATGCATCTATAAACATCTACAATACGATCATAATATCTCATCTCTAGCCCAAGTTGACAAGAATTTGTCTAAAGCACATGACATGCAGGGTTCACACCATGTTTCATATATTTCTAAACTACAATTTATTGGACAATAAATCAATCAACCAATTAAGGCCAAGTTTGGCTATCCTAAATAAGTACACACTTTTTATCTTTTTTCCATCACATCATCTCTCTACTTTTCTGCACATCTTTTCGTAAAAAGACAAAAAGTACACTTATTTAGGTCATCCCAAACAGTTCCTAAATGCACTACAGTTTTAAGACTAATAAATGAATAAAAAAAAATGAAGAATTATAAACTAATTAAAACAGGGGATGCCAATGGTGACAGATGAACGCAATAAGAATTGTCTTCTTGCTGTAGCAGAGTATTGTGCCAGTTAAAGCTGCCCCCAAAAGCACTACAAATTTATTATGGAACAAATCTGGAGAGGCTAACTAAGCTGAGAAATGTCAATCCCATCTGGTATTCGGAAAGTGTCAGCTGCCCCTAACTTCCTCTTCTCTTCCCAGTCTTCATCTTCATTACTGTCGTCCTCCTCATCATCATCCTGTATGCATGGGGAAGAAGGGTCCTCAACACTTTTGGATCGGCAATAAGGGGTGGCGAGCATGCTAACTTGGCCAAAGTGGGAGATTTCAACAACAACCGTGTCATCATCTACAGGGAGAGGTTGTTTCCATGGCTCCCCATCAATCCTCATGAATGTATGTTCAGCTGCACCCTTGTGAAACTCGAAACGAATTCTGTTTGCCTACATGCCAGAAAGCAAAATGATAATTTAAAAAACAAATAACATGAGCAACAATGAAAAAACTTCTTATCAGAACATTTGTGTTACAATATGCCTTCCATCTATTATAGGTGAATGCTAATGTAATAATATCCTGGCATCAGTAGGGACACCCAAGATTTTTGAACCATTAATTAGTTTTCAAAACCAGTTCATGATTAAATCCAGCACAATGCCTACCTGCGCAAGGCGAGTCCCATGTCCAGTTGGAGCAAACATAACGAGCCCATGCCAAGCATTTCTAAAACCAACCACCTCAATAAGGCCATCATCAACATATGGAGGAGTCAAGTCCCTCTGTCCAAAAAACAAGAGAGAAAATTATCAGGAATTTTTGGTCAAGACATGTTAGTGCTGGTGACGGACTTACACAGCCTATGTGCTCAGATCATATCAAGCAAGCAAATAAGAGAAGTCACATTAGAACTAACATAACGCATCTTCTTCCTATTCGGCACTCCCCAAGGATTGAGTCCACCAGAAAAACTGGGCAAGTTGAGGCAAACAATTGACCTGATGCTGCATAATGGAAACAAAATTTTCCGTAAAACAATTCACCAAATTGTTTGGGATCATCAATAGTTTTATTATTGATCCAAAAGATAAGGGAAAGAACAGAAAATTGCTTTTTCCATATTATGTATGACCACAGGAGGCATGGCATATCCCATGATAGCCACAAGGGTCCCTATGAAATTAAGAATCAGATACCAATTTGTAGATTGCCATGAGAGAGAACTATGGAGATCCAGGTAACTGCATATTGGACCAGAAATTGGCTGATTGTGAAGAATATTGCACAAACAAGGAATTAACTCTTCCAAGCCTCATGTAATAAACAACCTCTTACATGGAAAACTCCAAGTCAACCACATTGAGAGTAGAACACGCAGCCCTAACTCTGATTTTCTGAACACGCAGCCCAGATTGACCATACAGGATGCGATAACGGAACTTGCAGGAGTCGAAACAAACTCAGATATCCGACTTCTTCCTCTTTTCCTTTTGCTTCGAAGTTTGGAACTTATATAGCTTCAGATGGGTTCTAGCTTTACTGTTCCCACATGACTCAGGTTGAACCCTGCGGTTTTTGAAAGAACAAAATCTTATTTTGCACAATGTGGAGAACAACACGGCACTATGAGCGCAAGAGAATTTTTGAAATTAAGAAATGTGTTCTTAACTGGGCATTGAGCCTATGACTGAACACAGCGAAAAAGATTGAACAATGGAAAAGAAAAGGTAAACAACCAAAACGCATCGAGACACACTCGGAATGACTCAAAGCCAGAGTCGAGACAAACAAAACAAAAGACACGACACACAGACGTGTTACAAAGACGAGAGACCTCCCGGTACGTGAGAAGCCAGTTTCTTCGGGTATTGTTTCCCACCCTTTCTCAATTGTGATTCTCACATCACTCGGCCCTCAAGCTCTGTTTTTGCTGAAAAAGCCCTTTTCCTCACTTTTTCTCTCAGCGCACATCTCTCTATTCTTTAATCTCTCATTTTTTATCCCTCCTCTGGGTGGTTGATGGATGAATAGGAAGTTGCGGGCTCACACCCAACATAATCAGCTCGTGGCTATTTCCTTCGGTGACATCTGTCGATGCGCCGGATGAGGGAATGGGGCATCTCGATCCATTCCAATTCGTGCTTCGCATTCGGCTTGATACCTCGCTGCTTGGAGGATGAGAGAGCTTTCAACCCTTTGTTGTTAACTTCAGTTATCCCCTTTTCTGGCGGGTAGAGTGTCCTTTCTGGAAAGTAGAGTGCCTTTTCTGGCAAGTATGTTGACAATGGGGAAAAGGCAGAAAGCCTGACTCAACTGTGCCCCTAGTTCATTATTTTGACCATTTTTTGTTTTGGTTTTCTACTAAAACAATTTTGCCAACATGAGAGTTAGATTAACACACTTGCTCGATTTTTGATTTGAAATCATGCAAGTCAGGCTATGAGCACTGAAAATTTTCTTTTTTTTTGGGGTCCAAAGAAATGGTCCAGTTTTTGGAAAAGATGGAACAATTTTCGAGAAAATTAGTCAACCTCAGTAAAAATTCTCAAAAACTATTTTTGCAAATGGCCGATGTTTAACAAGCGTGGAACTTACTCTTGAGATGTATAACCTCGGATCTGGATTAAAATTGCCCCCTTGCTTGAAGAGAGCTGCATGGCAACGGAAAGTTGCCCCTTGTTTGAACGGCACTGCAGCGCATTGAATGGCAACGGAAAGTTGCCCCTTGTTTGAACGGCACTACAGCGCATTGAATAGCAACGGAAAGTTGCCCCTTGTTTGAATGACACCGCAGGGCATTGTAAGCAGTCCTCAGAGTGACGAACACAACCCGACTCTCGGATACAGAGA